GATGGCACCCAGGGAGGAGAGGATGGGGGTGACACACGGGGAGGAGGTGGCATCCCGGGAGGAAAGGATAGTGTGGCACATAGGGAGGACAGCATAGGTGTTGCAGGGTGAGGTACCCAGGAAGGAGAGGGTGGGGATGGCACCCAGTGACCCAGGGGGGGAAAGCTAGGGGTGGCACCAGGGGAGGGGGTGGCACACGGGGAAGCCAGGCCCGGAGGTTGGATGGGAAGGATCGGCAGAGGGAGGCAGACAGGGCACGTATCAGAGAGAAGAGGAAGGAAGCACACACAGCTGTTTATGAGCCCCGGAGAGCTGTCCCCCCTCCCCCACGCCTACTCCGTGCTGCCGCCGGCTGCACTCACCGGTCGGGGTCTCTTGGTGGAGACCAGGTTGTCGTAGAAAGCCTTGGCCGCCGCCCAGTCCTGCTCGGCGCCGACCGCCGCCGCCTGCTGCTGCGCCGGGGTGAGCGGGGTGTTGCAGGCCGAGCTGCTCTGGGACTTGTCCGAGCTGCAGGAGCTCATGGTGGCGGCTGGTGCCCGCGGCTGGTGCCTGCTGCTGCAGCCGGGCGGCGCGGGGGAGGAGGAGGATCTCTGCAGCGACACCAACACAGCGGGACCGAGGTCAGCGCGGAGCGCACCAGCCGCCTCTGGGCATCCGCGCCCCGCCGCTGCAGCCGTGGGGAAGTGATGACGGGCCGGGCTCTGCCCTGCCCCGGGCTCGCTGTGCCGCGCCCAGCCAGCCACTGCCCTTCCGCCTGCCGCCAGCGCCGGGCCTGCTACCCGCCATCCAGGGCCGCAAACCCCCGACCAAGCCCTACAGCCTGCGGGAAGGGGCGGGGGACCGGGGCTGCACCCCCACCCCCCGACAGATACACACAACCTGGGGGGACCAGAGGCCAGAGCTACCCCCCCCCCACACACACACACAGACAGATAGGCATGGGGGGGGGCAGGGATCAAGGCTGCAACAGACACCCCCCCCCCACACACACACAGTCTAGGGGTTTCAGAGTAGCAGCCGTGTTAGTCTGTATCCACAAAAAGAACAGGAGTACTTGTGGCACCTTAGAGACTAACAAATTTATTAGAGCATAAGCTTTTGTGGGCTACAACCCACTTCTTCGGGAGGGACTGGGCTGCAACCCCCACCCCACCCCCAGTCAGCTACACACAGCTTGGGGGGGGGGTCTGGCCCAAAGCCCAGAAGTCAGTGGGCTTGGGATCAGGCCCTAAATACTAGGAAGTAAAAAGTACTATTAGTAACTTAAAAAAGGGGGAGTGGATGGATCAAAGGAAATTCCCTTTCATAATTTGAAATCTGTTTCCTTACAGAAATATTATTTCAACATATATGCACTGGTTAATGACTGTAGCTGCTAGGCTGCTGGTGTTTATTTGGGCTTGTTGTTAAGGAGAACAATGAAGAATTTGGAATATGGAAAAAATGATATGACCCGGCCCTTCCAGCTTGGACACTAACTAACTGCTGTTCACCTTAATGTCTCCAGTCTTAATATTGACAGCCATTTAATATTATGTTATGGCTTCAGGCACTGATTTTATCAACAGGATTAGAGACTTATTACTTGCACAACAGTTTAACTGCTTTAACATTAACTGCAGCAGAAAAATCTGAAGGATTTCTCACTAGAATATGAGCAAAAGAACAATGATGTGTCCACCGGTCAAAAGTGGCTGGCTCTGAGTGGTTCAGTGAGTGAACAGTGGGGTCCAAATAACTTTATTCATTAAATATACACAACATGTAAGGCCTAGTCACAAATACTGCTTTGGCTGGGGTCTGGGTGGCTCTAAAACACAGAACACAGTGAACACCACTGGAGGGCTTGAGAACTACTTAAAGGAAAGCAATGTTGCTTAATGGATAGTGCAGGGGCGGGCAAACTTTTTGGCCTGAGGGCCGCATCGGGTTTCGTAAATTGTATGGAGGGCCGGTTCGGGGAGGGGGTCGTGGCCCGGCCCCCACCTCCTATCTGCTCCCCCTCCCCCCCGGGACTCCTGCCCCATCCAACCCCTCCTCTCATTCCTGACGGCCCCCCCGGGACCCCTGCCCCATCCAACCCCCCCTCCTTCCTGACTGCCCCCCCGAGACTCCTGCCCCCATTCAACCCCTGTTTTACCCCCGACCACCATCCACACCCCTGCTCCCTGACCACCACCCCGAACTCCCCTGCCCTCTATCCAACCTCCCCTGCTCACTGCCCCCTTACCGCGCTGCCTGGAGCACCGGTGGCTGGCGGTGCTACAGCCGTGCTGCCCGTCTGGAGCCGGGCCACGCCGCTGCCACCACCACGCAGCACAGAGCACTGGGTCAGGCCGGGCTCTGCAGCTGCGCTGCCCCAGGAGCTCACAGCCCCGCTGCCCACCGCATTGCACCGGCGACGAAGCGAGCGAGCTGAGGCTGTGGGGGAGGGGGAACAGCAGGGAAAGGGCCGGGGGCTAGCCTCCTGGGCCAGGAGCTTGGGGAAGAGGCAGGATGGTCCCGCGGGCCGGATGTGGCCCGCACGCCATAGTTTGCCCACCCCTGGGATTGTTCATTAGACTGGGACTCAGGAGACCTGGGTTCTATTGCTGGCTCTGCCATTGGCCTGCTGGATGGCCTTGGAAATTATACCTCAGTTTCCCCCGTTGTAAAATAGTGATACTGACCTCCTTTGTAAAGCACTTTGAGATTTACTGATGAAAAAGTGCTGCATAAAAACTAGGTATTATTATTTATTGTTACTCTATTCCTATACACTACCATGAGCTGGAGCTTTTTTGTGGTAGCTGCCATCTTCTGCGCCAAAGTGTAAGCTTACATTGAAATATAAACCAGTTGGTGGAGCTTTTGAGTTCCACTACTTTTTTCTTCTAATTTGACCCCTCAATGCAACGTTTTGTATTGCTGTTTTCACAAGTAAAATCAGAATTTATCACACCCACCTTTTTGTGGTTTATTCAGTCAGTTAGTGATGAAGATCCCTTTTACCCTTTTCAAGTTACCAGAAAATGTCAACAATTTCAACTCTGTTGCCTGAGTCAGTGATCCTGGGTCCTACCACTGAAGTGGTCTGGCTTCAGGGCCTTACACATCAAGCCATGACCTTCAAAATGCAAATTTCAGTGCTGTCATCTGAAATATTTAATGGTGCCCTTAGAGTTCTGTTGAGGAGGAATGGGTTATTTCTCACTGCATCAAGTCTCTTGTGGAATCCAAGAACAGGAAAGAATCCAAAATTCAACTCCTTTGGTGGTTTCTCAGTCAGAAGTTAATAGAAGTGAATTTCCCAGTTTACCTGCAATGTTTGTACTAGGGTTCTCTGCTAAAAAAAAGAGCTGGAGCCTTTGTGGGTCTGTCTACATTGCAACGTAAGCCCATGCTTGAACCTGGTCTCAAACCTAACCCTTCTTACGTCTATGCTACAATTGCGCTAAACTAGGGCTCAGACCCAGGGTCCCAGGAACCTGCAGGGCTGGAGGGTCCAGGGTTGAGTTAAGCCAGGACCCAAGGCCCGAGTCCTATTGCTTTGCACTGTAGACGCAGCCCCACTTGACTTGGGTCCCAGGAGTCAGCCAGAAGTATTCCACAATTCCATGGGATAGCTTCCTCTCTCCCAACAATCTGTAATGTGCTCTATTGAAAACAGAAGCCACCCCCACTTGGTGAATGGCAGCAGATCAGGTCAGCATTAACACATTTTCTTCTGATTATTGATCTGCAAGCACACTATCAGAGAGCCTTCTGGGTTTGCAAGGGAGAGTGAACTGATCAAGCCTTTTGCAAATTGACTTGCTTCCTGGTAATGTGTTGGCAGTAAAGTTTTCCCACAGTTCACCACGGTCCTAGGGCTAGAGCGGCCACATTTTGGGGGTGGGAGTGCTAGGGACTCTGGGATATGGTTATTTTGACTTATGTCTGCACACTGCAGTGTGGATACCAGAGCTCTAGGTTCGAGCATGGTTTAGAAAAGTCTTAACTTATGGTTACAATATAATGTGGACACTCTATCCCAGGGTTCCCTAACACAGGTCAGCTGACTCCAGTCCCACTAACCTTGGGCTTACATTGCAGTGTAGACATACCCTGTGAATGTGCTGTTAAAAAAAATCACATGTGTATTTCACAGTCTGTCACCACTGACAAGACAGAAAGAGAGGTCTCCTGCTTTTTGATACTGATCCTTGGTGGAAACTATTTCCCCATCAACTCATTAGGTGTCCCTGCCTAACAAGAAGGTTAAGATCAAAATCCCTGCACCCCAATCTGGGTCTATGCTGGTTATGTGATATGTATGTATCTCGTGATCCTTGTAACTGATACCTGTAATCCCTCATAACTCAAGCCGGACCCCAGATATACGGTACCTTCCCTCTTAACTTGTGTATATTTAATTTTAAACATTAATTTTAATAAATTTTTTAAAGCTGTTCTTATCATTTGAATATCTAATATGTCCTTTATTTGAGGACTGTATATTAAATTGATTTTTGAAATAGGGGGATGGAATAGGAGCTTGCTCCATCCACCCCATGCATCGACCTGGTATTGCAGTGCCTCCGGGAACAGTGCAAAGAAAAAAAGAAGTTGTTTAAGGACAGTATTTCAGTGGTTAGATTGAAGGTTCCACTGAAAATTCTGTTGCTTTTTCTTGCATCCACTCATCTCTGGAACAGATATAAGAAGCTTCCCAACTTTAGAATTCCGGGCCCAAAGGCAAGGAAGGGGCCTGAGATGGAAGGATCAGTTTTATCTTCTGAATGTGTAGACCGTAAGAAATATTGCACATTGACAGATAATGCAAGGTAGCCAATATTCAGTCCTTAGGACATAAGGCACTGATACACTGCAGAATGGACTCTGCAAGGACACTTCATCTGTGTGATTGCACTGACTTAGCTACAAAAGGTACCAGCTGCATACAGGGCAATTTGATGCTTGGTAAATCTTCCAGATTCATGCTATAAGGTGAGATGTTCTTGGAAGGAGCCTGGGAAAGGCTTTGGCCCAGGGCAGCAAGCCAGGACATGCTGCTAGACATAGCTGGTGAGATACTGCCAGATTCCTGGTCTATATCTAGAACCCCTAGGTACTATAGTAATACACATAATAAATAATTATAATTTTATCTGCTCCACCAGATTACCATTTTGGGTAAGACCATGTGCTTTGTAGTATAGATACTACTAAATACAATTCTGCACTTAGATCACTGATTTTTTTTTAAAAATCATGAACACATTTCTATTAACAATATATATTTTTACATTTGTTCCACAAAACCTACATTTGAATCCTAGTCTGCCTCTGTCCCTTTAATTGCATGCTTCTTGATGCTGTCTTTTAAAGTGCCTGTATTCATGCATGCCACTTTTATGCTAAGTCAGTTGGTTAATGGCAGAGATACGCCATGATACATTTACGCTGTGGAAATCTTTCAAACACTTCAAGGTATTTACCTTCCTCTTTCTTTTCAGAAAGTTCTTCATACATCTGGTAATTATTAACGATGTTACAGCATAAATGATGGTTTGTGCCTCCCTCAGCCCATCCTTTCCATCCCCCCACCCTGCCTCACCCCGTCCCGTCCCACGTGGCCACCACTGCTCTTGTAGGGAAATTGGAATGCTAAATTTGTGACATCACATTCCATTCTATGGCAACAGTTTGATGTTCTTTTTCCAGCTGTGTTCTACTGTTAAAGTCTTTCTTTAACATTAAATTAATTAGCAATGGCCAGATGTATTTCCTTGGAAATAAAGATCTTGCATTTTACCAGATGATGTCTCACATGTCTGCCAGTAACTTGTAGCATGAATGACTCCAGAGTGGGGATGGTGGGATGGGAAGGAACTAAAAGATGAGTCCAGGGTAGGAGTTGTCAA